TAGATCTCTGTGGTAGAAAATACCATATGTAAAATAACTGACTCTCAACCTCCCACCATTTCTGCCACCACTGCTTTGCTCCTTGTAGCAACCACATTTGTTCTTGAAAGCGATGGTTAGGGAGCTTATTATGAGGAGAGATGAGAGATTGATGGGTCTTTCTGAACTAAGCCCAGCGAGAGCTGCACGCTTTCCCCTCTGCTCCTTCTGCCGATGCTTTTCTGTGGTTTGCTTCAGCTCTCCCAGCTCCAGCCCTGCTTTCAGCAAACACTGCTGTTCATAGCAGCCTGTTCAACATGTGCTGATGTCTGGAAAGCTATTTTATGCAAGTGCAATTTCTTCATCTGCTGTGGTGTTCAAATATAGAGGCTCTGAAAGCCTCTAATGATGTTTTTTTTTTAAAAAAGGCAGTTCTTTCACCTGCCCACACATAGCCAACTTTTCTTAGCATATGCTTTGGATCTTACTTGGGCAAAAACTGTAGTACAAAATCATCCTTAGGTAGACATCATTACTGTAGAGATTGGGGTTGTTTTTTTCAGTTTCATACTGGAAAGAGTAGTTAGATATTGGGGCCATTTTTGCAGGCAAAGATTCAGCCAAATATCTGGATGGGTGGGTGGATGAAAAGACCCTGCAGCTTTCCATCCAATTTCAAGGAAATATGTGAATATCAATTCACATGTTTCACTATACTGGCTGCACCCACACTTTTTACTCTGCTTTCTTCTAGGACTTGCCTAGCTCTTAAGCAGGACTTGGGTATATCATCATTTTCAGATCTCTGGAGATCAGGACCCATTCCTTGAAGGCACATTGCAACTCCCATTGAAATCAGTGGTTCAGTGTTTTGAAGATCTGCAGTTGAAGTGCCTGTCTCCCATAAGCAGGCTTTAATATGCAACTCAGTATATACTAATAAATGCAACCGCATTAAGACTTCACAGGAGTGTCTTCATGCCCCTGACGTTCCCTGCAGCCGCTGGCCCCGTCACGCCGATTGCTTAATTTGTATTACAACGTGCTTTTAAAGAGAAAGTCAGTATCCAGATGGTTTTCTGCTAGCAACATATATATCTTTCTATTATAATTTGTAAAACATGCTACTCACCAAGAGCAAAGTTAGAATGGGCTTGAGCGGCCAAGCAGATTCCAGATCGCCCTTTTCCTTCTCTTGGAGGAGAAAGGAAGTTACAAGATTCTTTTTTTCCTTGCTCTAAAATAATTAAGAAAGCTCAATTAAATAGAAAGATGTTGAATTCTCTGGAGATAGCCTAGATGGTAATGAAAACCTCTAACATCTTAATGCCTTTCCTCCTCAGAGTCTTTAAAATCTGAAAAAAACAACTCTTGTACAAAAGTGAGTAAAATCTTGGCAGGTAAAACAAAAAACCCTGTCCTGGAGGCTTGTAAGGGATGACCAGTTTAAGCAGATGCTTCTGTTTTCCTCAGCGTCAGGAGCCCCCATGTTCAGCCCTCCCCTGAGCATCACGCGAGTGGCTGCTGCGAAGCCGGGGGAAGCTCCCGATCCAAGGGCGAAGCGGGAGCTCAGTGCTACTTGTTTCCCTTTACAACGCTCTAGTGCAGCCATTTTCTTGCCAGACTTGATTTTCACCTTTTACATCTTGCTTAAATCTCAGCTCCAGGCAAGCCCTCCTTCAAGGTCAGGCAGCACTGGTTACATCTAGTTTCTTGTATTAAATAGAAGAAGAAAAGTGCACACACAAACACACAGCCCCCTCCCCACTGTTCACGCTTCCCTAAAGGCTTGTCGTTTCTGTAGGAAATGCCCGTAGATTCTTTCATGCTCTCGCCTGGTTTGCCGAAGGGTTTGTGAAACTTTGTGTTTTTTTCAGCATGTCTGGTTTAATGCTTAAGTCTGACATTGAGTCTCACGACGAAGTCCCAGACTTTGCTGAAAATATTTTATACGGGCTTTCCCCCACCTCGCAAGCAGAGCTTGGTGGCGGCCGAGGGCGCTGCGGGTGCGAGGCCGCAGGGGCCCGGTGAGGCCTGCGGCGCCGCCTCAGCGAGGGAGGCAGCCCCGGCGGCAGCCATGAGCCCTCCCTGCGACCTGCGCTCCGGGCGCCGCGTTCGCTTCACAGCCTCTTGTACGGCGCCAGCAGAAGGAAGAACATTTACCACAAGGAAGGGATTATGGTTAGAAATGGCTCTGTTTCCACAGTGAGCATTTGCAGCCAGGCTCCGCGCTCGGCTCCGCCAGGGCCGTGGGGACCCGTGCGTGGCCCGGCACGGTGCTGGTGGCCTGAGCGGTGTGCGTTAGTGGGACACTGCTTGGGGAGTGATTGCTGTTTTTTCTCTTACAGTTTAGATTCATTTCTTTATGGCCTCCATGCACTGTTCAAAGGAGACTTTCGAATAGCAGCCAAAGATGAGTGGGTCTTTGCAGACATGGATCTCCTGCACAAAGTTGTGGCCCCAGCAATCAGAATGTCTCTGAAGCTGCATCAGGTGGGAGTTTCATTAGTTCTGCCATTGCACGTGTTTTCCTAAGTAAATGTTGGAAACCTCAGAACCTGAAGCAAGAGGAAATGTGAGGGAAATGCTGAGTGCTGCTGCTGTTATTCTGAGCACCTTCCTTAATGGGAAGGGGAAAGTCCAGCAGTTACTTAACTTACAGTCTTCCACTTATCTTCTTTTCTGTATATCTCAGTTCCCCTTTAAAACCATTTATATTCCAGGCCATGACCCATCACTTTTCATAAAAGAAATACTGCTGGTCATGTCTTGTTTTATTTACATAGATACTATAAAGATGGTTTCTAGATTGGAAGTAGATATATTGATTAAATTATTTTTATTGTTAATTTAGCAATCATTTTATGATGGGCAATACATGTCTAATGCCATTTCACAGAATCACAGAATCACAGAATGGTTGAGGTTGGAAGGGACCCCTAGAGATCATCTAGACCAAACCCCCTGTTCCAGCAGGGGCACCTAGAGCATTTCATGTATTAAAAGACAGCGTGGAGAGGGTTTGTGTCACAGCTGCCTGAGTATATCGTGCTGTTTCTGAACCCGTTTTCAGCTGTAAAGGTCTGGTGCACCTCTGTTGAAATCACTCTAATTCCTCCAGGTCAACTCTTGTAAAGCTTGGAGTTGATTTTGCTCTTGCTCTGTGCTGCACGTTATCTCATGCTGTACACTTTCAAAGTGTCTGATACTGATAATTGCTCCGTAGTGGAACTGAAGCAGAACCACAGTCAATTAATATAAAAGAATTTGACAAAATGATTTTATGAGCATTATGGCGGTGTTGCTGTGTGGCAGATAAAGAAGTGCTACAATATTGTGATATCTGCTGTTGGGTTCTTCGTCTGTGTTCTTGTTGCTTTTTTTTTTTTTTTTTTTTCTTCATGAATGCAAATAAGGATTTCCAAATCCTGGGTAACTCTGATCTCCCTCCAGCTTACCCAAAAGGTTCTCTGATTTCCCATGCTATAAAAAAGAGAGTGCCTAAATGTCATTCTCTGAGTGTCTTTGTCCAGTAGAGAGGTAAGATTAAGTTAACACTAGATGCAAAAAATTGTATCTCTCCCTATTGCCATGAAGTTAACGATTCCATCTCCCCAGACACACACTGTATCAAATACTGAGTTATGTGGAGGGTTCACAAGGATGCCTGACCCACTGTAATATTTTTTCATTTCCTACCAGGACCAGTTCACCTGCCCAGATGAGTATGAGGACCCAGCAGTTTTATATGAAGCAATCCAGTCTTTCGAGGAAAAGGTTGTGATTTGTCATGAAGGGGACCCGGCCTGGCGCAGCGCTGTACTCTCCAACCGAGAAGAGCTGCTAACCCTGAGGCATGTGGTAGATGAAGGAGCGGATGAATATAAAGTTATCATGCTCCACAAGAGCTACTTGAACTTCAAGGTTATCAAGGTACCTATGCTACCGTTCTAATACTGCAGGAATGTAGGGCTGCAGTTACGATATTATTTCTCAGTAGACTGGCCAAAAGGAGGAGGTTGATTATAGTAATCAGAGCAGTGCCTGGAGTCTGGAAGTGGAGTTCTGTTCAATTCACTTCCATTTCACACCTTTAGGTTGAGAATCCTTCCTGGCCTAACTAGGAAGTAGTGGGAGGGTTCATAAAAGCTGCTGGTACAAAGGCACAGCACGTGTGCAGGGGGCTGCTGCCACCCCATCTACACCATGCAGCTCGGTGTCTGCAGTAGCAAGTGTTTTCACGTGGTCCAAACTTCTCTACCCTACCTGCAGGTGAACAAGGAGTGTGTCAGAGGGCTTTGGGCTGGACAGCAGCAGGAGCTGATTTTCTTACGCAATCGTAACCCGGAAAGAGGGAGCATCCAGAATAATAAACAGGTCTTGCGGAACTTGATTAATTCTTCCTGTGATCAGCCACTAGGATATCCAATGTACGTTTCCCCTTTAACCACCTCGTACCTCGGGACACACAGCCAACTGAGGAACATTTGGGGGGGACCTCTCAGTTTGGACAACATTAAAAAGTGGTTCAGATCCAAATGGTTAAGGTAGGTGTTAAACCTTGGTCGTGATATGCAGCATAGATACCCTAGTTTTAGTTCCACTGTATTTTCTGTCTTAAAAAAAAAGTAATTACACGGTGTTACCTCTCACTCTTTGGGCACTCATAGCTCATTCTGGCCCATTTCCCCCCTACCTGCACTTGCCCTGTTGCTGCTGGGACTGGGAACAGCTCCGTGGCTGCTGGCTTGCACACCGAGACGTCTGCTAAAATGCTAAGATACCGGGGTCCCTCCTGTGTTGCCTTCCCACACGCAGTTCATTCCCAGTCCTGTTGGGAATGAATGACTTGGCTACCTCACGTGGAAGCTGATCTGCAGAAACCCAGTCTGCCATTAGATGAAGAGCACTGAGGTCTTGCAGGGCTTATGCCACTGCAGGCAGGTAAGGAATGATTCGGGCAGGATCACGATCCAATTCCAAGTCAGCTTTCCATGCTGTCATCTTTGTGATCCAATAAAATGCCCAAAGACCCGCAGTGGCATCGGAAAGGACAAGTGCGGCGTTTCCGTCGAGGAGGCCAGGACCCGGCGGCCCGGATCCGCGCGCGTAACCCACGTCCGCCGCGTGTGTGTGCTCCCGCCCGCAGGATGCGCAAGGACTGCCACGCGCCCCGCCACCAGCAGCCAGGTACCCGGGAAGGGGGCCGCGCGCGTGACGCGGGGAGCTGCCGGCGAGGCGCCGCGCGGCTCCTGTTGGGCTGCAGGCAGCAGGACTGGACCTGCCAAAGCCTGAGCTGTTTTAGAGGGACCCCAGCTGTTTACTTGAGGAGCTGGCTTGGCTGTTTGTCGATGGGGAATAAACAAATAGAAAATAACTCCCTGAATCTATACTGCAGTTATCAAATGAAAAAGTGTTGGCAGCCTCTCTGGCGGTTGATATCTGAATCCTGTTCTTAGATTGCTGATCTAAAATTGCCTCAAATGTACTTACAAGAGAGAAGGAACTTTACATTGGAAATAATATATTAAGTTTGCTAGTGAATGACTGTAAGACCTATCGCTAAGGAACTAGGACTTGTTGAAAGTTAAGAGGCTTTACATTATGCCTCTGCTGTTACCATTTTAAGCACGGAACTAGAGGGATATGGTACTTGTTTGTTTCCTGTTAGATCGTTTTGACCTATCATTAAAAATAATGGGCAGGACTGGAGGAAATCTTGCCATGAATATAAATCACATTGTAAGAATAAAATAGCTTTTGAGGAATCCCCATGTGCGTACTTGTAATTTGACACTGCAGTAATTAGGATGGCAAACTTAATTGTAAAATAATGAGCTTGAGCATCCCATACAATAATGCAAGTTAATTGTGAATTCCTTAAAAGAATGCATTGGATGCCTATAAAAAAAAAAAAAAAAGCACACAGTCAACACAGTCAAGAGAGAAGGTCACACTTAGTTAAGAAAAAGCAACCTGGCTTTGAGATAAAATGAAGAAATGCACAACAAATGCAAGGAAGTGGAAAATGGCTGGCAAATGTAAATCAGCATTGCGGCGTGAGAGACACAATAGAGAGAGAAAGGGAATGGAACAAGGAGAAAAATCCAGCTAGCAGCATTGGCGACAGGAAGACAAAGGGATTCGATTGCTATTTATTTTCTAAGAATCACAACAGTAGTCCTGATCCATCACTACATAAAAAAGGTAGAATTGTCAATTCTGTCAAAGGCAGAAATGAGAAAGGATCACGTCTGTTTTGCATTTGGGGGAAAATCCAGAGGATCGAGTTTTAGCATCTGATGGTGAAATAGTTCTTTCCATCCCAACAGTTACAAGGAACATTAAAGAGCAGCTATCAAAGCTCTATGTTTAAGTGAGCAGATCCAACTACCTCTCATTCAAGAATGTTTTTAAAAGAGCTGTTGAAAAAGCTCTGATCTTCTGTATCAGAACAGTAAGGCAGTACCAGAGCACTGGGGAAAACGCACACGATGCCAGGTTTTAGAAAGGGAGGGAACAGGGGGACCTGGGTAATGTAAGCCAGCCGATTTGGCGTTGGCTTGGAACACTGGCCCAGCTCACATCCTCGTGCCCGAAGTGGGGAAGGACAGTGCTGATTTTGAAAGAGCTCGAAGAAGAGTCGTCAGATGATCAGAACTCTGGAAAAGATGTCCTGGGCACCAAAAGCTGAGCGGGGTAGTTAGCTCTAATAGATCTAGATATAACTAAGCCAAGGAAATTTAATGTGAAATCAAGTTCACATTAAGTGCACTTGAATGTGCACAAGAGCAAATTACTTCACTGGTAAATAACCAGTGAAAAAAGTGGCTAAGAGTTTAGATGGATTCTCCATGGCTGGAAATGTTTGCTGCACTTCTTAAAGATAATAGCAATAATTAATAATACCACATAGGAATTAATTCCGGGAAGTTCTACAGCCTGTGTTATATAGCATGACAGACTAGATGATCTCAATCATCCCATCTAGACTCATAATCTGTGAATCAACTGCATTTAATATTTTCATATTTCATATTTCCTTTTGCAGCCTGGTGCCGTTGAGTCTGCAAAATGCAGTTAAAGCCATGTATAAAAATGAGACCAAAATCAGGAGCGTTGGAGATGTGTGGGGTTCACCCCGAATTGTCCTCGTTTCATGGTGCAGGTTATGGAACAGGCTTTGTTCCCCCAGTGCTTTCAGGGCAGGTTATTTATCGTGGCTACGGGTGGCCTCCCGCGCGGCGCTGCAGCCCCTGCGCCTGGGGGGACCTCAGGAGGCTCTTGGCAGCGGTCAGCTTGGCAGGTTAAATCGTGAGCAGATGTTTGGCCACGATAGCCCTTGAACAAACTAACACTCAGCCCCCCTGTGCTTAACTCCAATCTGCTCTTTTTATTTCAAATGGAAACATCTGACAATAACCACCAGACCTCGAAACCAAAGCACTTAGCTGGAACCGCAGAGTGTGAAGCACCTGAATCCCTGGAGCTGGAATTGCAGCGTTGTCCTAAGAGATTTTCCTCGTACTGACCGCACAATAAAAGCAAAAATAATGCTGTAGTATGGCAGGGTGGAAAAGTGCCCAGTGTTTGCCAAACCAGTGAGATTTTATTGCAGCAAAGCAGCTCCAGTGAGAGTAGGGACCAACTCTGCCATCTGGCTCTGTGCCAGGTTACCTAAATTTTCTTTGCTTCAGCAAAATGGGGCTAACGATACCAGCCTCTGGCAAGCAGATGGGAGGATGTAAAGCAGTATGTTTCACTTACAGAATGTAAACAGTTTGGATACGAACTCCTACATTACCAGAATCCTCCTGGGTTCAGCACGGAGTCGCATTTCTAGAATGCAGTGTGAGATTTCTGTTGCTTTATGCCTGCAAAATCTCACTGTCTGAGGGAGTCTCGATGTTTCCCTCCCTTCCATAATTCAGGCATTCGGGAAAATGACAGGAACTAAAAAAAAAAAAAAAACCCACACTGACGACCTGGGAATGCCCAGCAAAACTCCTGCCTGCACTGATGGGTCTTGGCAGCTGTGTTTTCCTGGCAGGAAGCCGGTGCTCCCTGCCTGGGTGCGGGTTGGTGCTCGGCTCCCTGGACGGCTCCCTGCCCTCCCTGCCCTCCCTGCCGGCAGCAGCCCGGCCTCCTGCACGCCGCTTTGCGTTCCGCTTGGTATCTGTCTGTGTAACTAAGCACAGGAAGGACTGAAATGTGGTCTTGGGATGGCATAAGGTGGTGATGCGAAGGTGTTCACATGGGTCTTGCTTAGATTGCCTGAAGTAGGTGTGGGGTCTGTGTTACACTGTCACCATCTCAAAGTTCAACTCTTAGTCTAAAAAAAACCCTCATGTGGCCTGAATTGTGTGGGGTCCCCTTGACTGACGTCACAAATTCCAAATTCATGTATGCAGGAATAACTCTCTTTAATGTAACTTTAGTTCACACGCTTTAATTTTATTTTTGTAATTAAGTTCTACCAAGCCATTTAAAGAAGTTCAGCATCACCTAAGTGAGCAGTGTGGTCCCCAAGCAGCACAGTTGTGCAGCACAGCAGTAATTAATAAATACGATTGTGCATTCAGTAGGCAGCTCAAAATGAGCTCGCCAGAAGAGCTGTGAGCCTGGGCAGAGAGGTTGCCCTGGCTTCTCCTTTCATCCTTTTTATGACCCAGTGCAAAACCACTGGGTCTATTCTAACCATGGCGAGAAGCAATGTAGTGGGGGGGGAAGCGGGGGCGGGGAACCACACACGTTAACAGGTTAGTAAGCTTAGCAATTTCTGATTTCTGGAAATGCTGACAAAAATACCACTTGGCTCTTGGCCAGATAATGATATGCATGCATAGGACAAGGTCAATAGCATGGACTTCATCAAGAAGAAACTTGAGAGCTCTTACTTAAATATTTTCATGTCTCTCTTAAAGGCAGGAGAAAACTCAGGAGTCAGTCTGTCCAGGCCCACACTGCTTTGCACCAAAGGCCTCCTGTTTCCAGTCACTCCGGGCCAATTGCAGAAGGCCGCCAGCCCTTCCTGCAGACATCGACGTCCGCCCATGAGCTCGCGCAGAGGCTTCCCAGCAGCCGCCTGTCCCTGCACAACTCGGAAACGTCCGTGTTTTCTCAGTCTCCTGCGGTTGCTGCTGCCGGCCAGCTGACTGTGCAGGAGCAAGCTGCAGCCATGCTCAGGTCCAGCCTGGCCTCCTCCACCAGCTCCACGCTCAGCCTGCTGTTCGGCAAGAGAAGCTTCTCGAGCGCTTTGGTGATCTCTGGGCTCTCGGCTGCAGACGGAGGCAACACCAGCGACACGCAGTCATCCAGCAGCGTCAACATTGCCATGGGGCCCTCGGCCAGAGCGGCGAGCCAGGCGGCTCGGGTGAGTACTGACCCGGAGCTCCCGGGCTCCGTGGGCGTCTGCACCCTGCTTCCTTTCTGGCCTCTCACTGCTCAGAGAAGAGTCACTCCTCCTCTGAAACGCTCTCAGGCTTCTGGTGCTTGTTCTGGATTGGGCCTCATGCCTGGTCACCATTTGTGCGTAGGAGAGAGCGGTGACAGACTGGCTGCTAAGCATGCACCTGAGCTGGCAAAGGCTCTTGTCATTTTACTTAGATCAGGACACTAAGTTTCCAAATTAGACATTAAGCTTCCAGATTTTACGCAGCCTGCAGATTAAATAGGCTCTTCTTCACTTGCCTAGTCAGGGATTAATGCTTTGCACAAAGAAGGGCTCCCAATGAACAGGACACTTGTGTTCTCTCTCTCATGTTTCTGAACTGTGTATAACTTAACTCATTCTCAAAAAAGTTGTCCAGACCTCAAGTGAAAAAAGCTCCTTAGCCTGTGCCCATTTTACTCTCAGCCCCAAAAATGTCATGTACAGCAGAGTCCACTGAAGATGAGTTTTGCCACTAACTCCAACAAAAGTTGAGTGGAAATTACTCATCTGGACCCAGCCCTGCTCTAAAGAAAGAGCATTAATGACCCTTCTGCACGTACTCACGAACACATGAGATGACCTGGCCTTGTTGCAGCTCTCCGGAGCTCACGGGCTAATTTGCAAGAATTCAGGCAGTCTGCAGTACAGGGCAGGAATGGTGGCGTTCACCTCACCTCACTTTAAGCCATCTAACAGGGTGGCACGAGCTCACGGGGGGGCCCTCGGTGTGGCCTCCCCTCATGTGGCCTCCCCTCACCCTTGCAGGGGCCGGGAGGCAGCCGCCTGCTGCGGGACGGGCCTCTCCGCCACGCTGTGCTAAGCTGTGGGCTTAGACTGCGGGGCCAAATTTAGGGGAATTGAGCCCTGCTCAACATACCAGATCAGAGCCCAGGTGCCTGTGTGCCTGAGAGGGGTAAGAAAGAAGCCTTATATTTAAGGTGGAGGCTTCTGGAAAGCTTATATAGAAATGGGCTTCTTACACTGGGTAATACTGAACGTAACCTTTGCAGCCTGATAATTGTAGTTGTAATGAAAAGGTTTATTTGCAGGCTGAATTGAAAGTCTGGTGTATAAAGTGAGCCCCAGAGCAACTTGGTCTAGCTTAAAAGGCAGCCCGGCTTGGAGCAGAGCCCTGGAACTGACCTCCACCAATGCAAATTCTGCCTTTTCAATGCAAATGATGCCACAGGTCTCTATACCTGTGCATCTCTGGTATTATACCTCTAGCTCCTGCTCTGCTTTTCTTTCCAAATCTGTGCACTTCTACACTCAAAGCTTTTACACCAAACAAAATCCCTGAACTCAGTGACTTTCTCTTTCTCTCAAGCAACTCCCCGAGCCCTGCGGAGCCAGTGACGCTGCGGCCGCCCGGCAGGAGGGCCAGCCAGGAGGACATGGCCCTGGACGACACGGCCTCCCAGCAGAGCCTCTCCGAAGAGCAGTGAGGCAGCTCCTGCAGCCAGCACAGCACCACCTGCTCCGTAACACGAGAGGAAGGGGGTTAGGTCGAGGAGCTGCACGTGTGGTTAAGTCCTTTCAAATGTACCAAGAAACCTCCCAGTCTTTATTTTTCTAACTTCTGATCACTACTACTACATGTTCTCCAGCTAAAGGCCTTGGCACGGACAGGGTTGACAGATGTCCCAACAACAACAGTGCCACTTCATCTCAGGTCTTTGTAAATCCTAGAACAGCTAATACAATTTATCTGACATTCCTTCCCCTGCAGAGGTGGGACACTCTTGTGGTAGAACTTAGAAGAAAAAAAGATTAAAAAAATAAGAACAGGTGAATCGAGAGTGAATGCAATGGGAAATATTAATACAACTCTGAGAAAAGCACACAAGAAGTCTCTTCCCTGCCATAACTAAACAGCTGATTGCATGTGAAATAACTGGCATTTGATATACTGTATAACAAACAGCAGCGTTGAACAGAAGCAATGATTACATAAACGGCCAGTACAATACGTACTGTAACAAGAGAGTCACATCTTTTTTCTTCAAAAGCAAATCTTTATTTTCCTTTGCCATGTTATGCAGGTGGCAATTGCGAGCAGCAGCTTAGCCTCACAGACCGATAGAGCGCATGCAGCCTCACCGAGACAGCGCGCGGCAGAACCACGCTAGGGCGGTAGCAAAGGTTGGTCTGCGAACAGCGAGCGGCCCGTGCACGGAGAGCCCTCCCAGGGCCCAGGGAGCCCCTTCTTGGCACAGAAAGCAGCTCTGCGCAGACTGCTGCTCTTGCCCCTCCTCTCGCGCAGAGCTTTGGTTTACAGACGTGTTTCTCCGATTCTGTGCAGCAGCCCCCTCAGGAGCAGCAAAGGGCCCAAGGGGAATCCTCCCCCGGGACGCAGGAGTGGGAAGCGGGCTGCAATTCCCATCTGCAGGTGTTTGCATGGGAAAGGGAACAGCTACCAGCCTGGCTGCGCGACACAGCTCCACGTCCACAAACACGTGTAGCTGGTAAGTGCAGAGCTTTCCCATTTCGCTCCCCCAGAGGCACAGAGATGCTGCCAGCTGAAGAGTTGCAGGAAGACAGATGTAGCAAAGAGGGAGGTCACACGTTCACAAAGTGTGAGCAGCACTGACTACAGCCTGACGATTTCAAAGGGCAAAAAGCTACACGGCCAGTCCTTACTGTACTGCAGTGTACACATGCACACACCCATCCGCGTGCATTCTCATTTTTTTTTAAATTAAAAAAGTTTGCAGCTATCAGTGTCTTGCTGTTCCTCTTTGCCTGCCCTACATGGTTACTAATTCTCTCCCGGATGATCTGCAGCCAGGCTGGCTTGTGCCAGGTACTGAGGAGGATTTACCACGAGGTGCTGTAGCGAAGTCTTATTACCTTTAGACAAAGCACTGTTGCCTTCTCAGCTTCCTACTGTGCCACACAATATCATAAGTAGAACTAAATAACCTCTAGTGAAAATAAACTGATCCAAGCATGTTTTGTGTGGCAGCAGTTTTTGGATGTTCTTTATTTATTTATTTATTTTGAATTACTTGCTTTCTGGAATTGAGAATCTTCCTGCTCTTCTGTCCCTTCAGTGTGCGATGAATTCTGTATTTCCAAAGCTCTGCACGAGCCAGGCAAAACCCTGCTCAGGTCCACAAAGGCAAGAGCAGAGCATTAACGCGCAGCCCCAGAGACGTGCAGGACGCGTCAGCGGGGCTTAGTCATGGCCAGTGCTGCCTCCGGCACCACGTGTGCTGCTGGAGGGAGCCTGAGGTCCCTCCCGGCCGCTGCCCCCTCGTGCAGGGCTCGGCCTCCCCCTCCGCAGGTGCCCGGGACGGGAGCTGGGGAGCGGACGGGCTCCCCCGGCTGCGGAGCCGCTGGTGCCGTCCTGCGCTGCGCCCGGCCCGCGTCACCCTTCCCGTCTCCCTGAGCGCTGCCCCCATGGGCGCAGGGGAGGTGCAGAACTTCCTCATAAAATTCCTCCCGGGCTATTCCCCTCCTTCACGTATGCTGAACTCTTCCATATTAAGGTACCTTCACTTAGGCCTCTGGTGTTCAAATCTCTAATTTACATTTATTTCCATCAAAATTAACCAACTTGGACCCCCACCCAACCTAATGAATCTAATTCAGGCAACGTTAAACAGATGAGGGAACGGCTGGGCCCAGTCACCGCTGACGGGCCCAGGGCCACCAGAAACACCTGCCCCCATCCCAGCGAAGCGGCTCTCCCGCTCCGGAGCCCCCGTTCCTGCCGCCGCCGCGTGCAGCCGCCTCGCACGCCCGGGCTCCGCTCAGGCCACGGAGCACGAGCGGGAAAACCAGCCCGCTGCTGCCCCGCGACTCCTCCAGCTGCGCTGGGACGGGGCTGCTTCCACCCCTCGTACCCAGGGCGTGCGGTTCGCTTTGTTGTGCCTCAAAGCTGCTGTTGAAGCGCGCTGCGCTGCAAAGACCGACCACCGACAGCATCAAACACAACACGCACAAACACACAAAACTCCCCAGCCAACACGACAGAATAAACCTGCTCTCAGCTGCTGTATTTCTTTGAAATTTTGGGGAGTCCGACGGTGTTTGTAAGACTACTGCTACTTTATGTGTTTTTAAATATGGACCAATCTTACAGAATAGACAAACATGATGGCTAGAAATTATAAAACCTGGAATCAGGAAGAGGTTGTGCTGAGTAAACGTAGTTTGCGATTAGAACAAAAAAAGAACTCCATGCATCAGGTAACTGCCCTGTCAGAACTGAAGCAAAGCTGTATCCCACTTGCGCTGTAGTCATAGGACATGCATGTGAGTCCCCAGTGCACAGAGCTTACAAAAGGGTAGCTTTGTAAACTACAGGCACAAAAGCAAGCAGCCGCTCCATGTACGTGCAGCCAGTTCAGCACCTTTTGTTTCTGGAGCCTGAAATCAGTGATACTCCATCTTGGAGCAGGCTGCAACCATCCTTTGAGCAAACAAAGCTCTGAACCCACGAGAGCAGTCAGTACATGGGGGATTTCCCCCCCCTCCCCCCAATAAAAGGTCCGCAAGGAGGCGGCCCTCTCTGCCCCCAGTTTATATCACCCCAAGTGAGAAGAAACACTGTGAGGGGGTTTATGCCCCACGGCTGGGTGGGGAGCCCCTACCACACAGCAGGCTGCAGCACGAGCACGAGGAGGCCGTGGTGAAAGCAGCAGACACACAGTCCTTCAGCCTTCACACGAAACGCAGGATAGCTGCCCCCCTCCCAGTTTGTTTTCCAAAACCCCTTTTTTTTCCCACTAATTGGCTGTTGTCCCCCTCTCTCTGTAAATGCCAGGTGCTCAACTTAAGGGTGAACTTAACTTCTTAGGGGTGAAACGTGGGCAGCAGATTTCAGCACCAATCACCGATGCTGCTCCCTGCAGCGGGTTTGCAGGCCAACCCCACGCTGCCCTTCGGGCCAGCCCCACATTGCCCTCCAGGCCAGCCCCACGCTGCCCTCCGGGCCAGCCGCCTCCTACCTCCGCGCTGCAGGCAGGCGCAGGCAGCATTTACACAGGTCCCTTCCGTTCCTCCCAAGGGGCAAGCGCTGCAGGTCCTGCTGGCCCCTCTATTTTGAGGTGTCTTCCAAACGTATTGTATGCAAAGAATTGGAGTTTCCTCATTAAAAAGCCTCACTTTTTTTTTTCTTCCTGTAAAACAGAAAACCCTAACATCACATTGAAGACGACAAATGTTAGCAAAGGACTTATCACTGAGATTCTTTTTCCCTTGCCAGATATTCTCCATACCTATGACATTCTGAAACCATCAAATTTGTCATCGAGTCCTTGCAATGTCATTCACAGCTTTTTTATTAAAGAAAAAATAATAAAGCAATAAACAGCATCTGCATTTGGCTCCTGCCCACCCATGGACTGCCCCTCTCTTGCTGGGGAATTTAAGTTCAAGATTAACTGAATTCTGCACAGCTCATTTTAGAAGATTAGAATTACAAGTGAAATTCTCCAGCACGTAATAACCATCTCCTCATCAATACATATTTCTTAGCTACACAGTTTGTGCCATTTTTAGATCCCTCTCTGGATTGGGAGCTGGCATTCAATTACAGTATTTCACTGGTGCTTGCACATCCTTAAACCTGCAAGACAGACCCACTACTTACTTACAATTAGCGATGCAGTAGGTGCAGTGTTAGGCATGTGCCTCTCATTCAGCCTTCTCAGAGTTTTACAAGTCCCAAACGGGCTAATGCATGATAAATAATGCAGCCCCTGCTTATGGCACGCTGTGCACAATTTCACGTTGGAATTACAAACCTCCTTGCCAAAAACGTCCTTGATTTTCAGGCTTGGAGAGGATAATTGGTACCTCATATTCGCCCCTTTTTTGCCCCAATTAAAGCCTGCAGGTGCACTAATGTTGTCATCTGGATTCTTGCTGGTGCATCAGAGGTTGTTTTCCCTAAGCGTGCGCTATTAGCAATATCAGCCCATCAGGGGAACGGCGAGCGCGCTGTTTGCTCTTACAGGGCTCTTAAGGCTTTCCAAATATTTCACTAGCACAAGACCAGACAATAAGTTTCTCCCTTTAAATGCAGCATGTCATAAAAACTAAGCGGAGTTGGAAATGCTGCGTTCTCTCTCTCTCACTCGATGCTGATTTGAAACAGGCCAGTCATTACTTTGGAACTGCCTCGGATTTAACGGCCAGAAGCAACCATTAGGGTCACCCAGGATCTCGTGCCTAACACAGGCCATAAACCTGCCCTCTGCTTCTAAAAACAGTCTCTAGCGCAGAGGGAAGATGAGAGGCTTTCCAGCTTGGAATCGGCGGCAGCAAGCAAGATCCACTGGTATCAGTTAAAAACTTTGAAAGGGGTGATGATTCATTCCAAATTCAAGTGAATGAGAAGCCCACCTCCATTTTGGTAATTTGCTCCAGTGACTAATTACCTTCCTTCTAAAAGGTGCTCCTTGTACTGTGACCTGTGAGTACCGTCCGCACACAATGCGGACACTGCCCAAGCTTCTTGCTGTGAAACATTTTTCTCAGCAGGTAAATCATTTGAGCAGCCTATTATATTTTGGGACAACATCAGGCATCATGGCACTAAACACGAGGCAACAGATCCACTCTTAGGAACAAACACAACAAAGTGATGCAACTAACCTTTCCCTGTGAATTGGAATTGGGAAAGCCGAACTTCGGCACCGCTTCTCGGGGAGACGTCCCCGCAGCCCAACGAGCCCCGGCTGCGCACGCCAGCGGCTCCTTGCAGTTGGAGCGCACATAAGGCGCAGCCCACGCAAGGGCTGAGCGCGAAAACCTGACCGCAAATCCCACGACATGAACTGAGCTACACAGACCTGCTGCTAACACAGCACGCGGCGAGGAGGTGCCCGGGGAAATGGTTAGGGCTGATGGCAGAATATCCAACGGCAGTACTGCAGCACAGCGCTGTGAGTTCCCACTGAGATGACGTGTGTGAGCAATGAAAACTTAAGGGGAGAGAAAACAAAATCACCACAGACAAACCAGCTTTGTGGTACCAGAGGTGAAAAGCATTAGCACTAGTTGCACAGTTGGAACATTATGGCCACTGAGGATGCTCACCTCAGCACACAGGGCTTAAGCTCCTTATTTCACCAGTGGTCCCCAAAACCACTAAGGAGCCCCTGGTTTTGAGTTTCCTGCTCCAGCAGCAGTGGGGAAAGCAGCTGCTCCGTGTGGCAAGAGCTCGGCCAGTCCCTGTGCGGGAACAGGAACAGAATTCCCAACAAACACCCAGTCTCGGCCTCTACCCAGCACCAACCCGGCGCCGTCACAGCCCGGAGATCTCGCGGCTCCCCTCGCAGCCAGGCAGCCGCAGCAGGAGTCAGGGCATTAACCAGGGCTTCAGGGACAGCCTCGTGTCCCGAGAACAGCTCCAGGGCGGCAGGCTCCCCAAGGAGAGGAGCCCCGGGTGCAGCTCCAAGCTCCCGAGAACAGGGCCCAGAGCTCGGACACCTGCGGAGGGACGACAGCCTCGTCCTGCAGGTGGGGAAGAACGAGGAGGTGCCAGCGCACCCCACCTCCTCCCCACGCACCTGTGGAAACGCTGTCCCCTTGCGGCCCCACGGAACTTCTGATGCCCCTTTGCACAGAAATAAATAACTAAAGCATGTTTGAAAACGCCTTTATATACTGTGCTCGTTTTAACAGTTGTTGAACTGAACAGAAAAAAAAGACCAGAAAACACTGAATTCTTAACATCTTTTTACAGCCGGAGACAACTATAAATCATACAATGAACAAGTGTGCACCTGGGAGGGAATTCTGTTTTCACAACATGCAAAACTGATTAAGCGGTAGCCCTTTTCCTGAACGCATTTGCAACCCTCCAAGGGAAACACATTTTCTCACACTCTCAAACACTTCTCATTTCATCAGTAACCATGAAGCACGCACAGAACTGAAAGAGAAGTCAAAAAAGTATCAATAATCCAAAATGGGCTGTAAAACCTACATAGGCAAATGCAAAATTAAGTCTACCCTCACCTACTCAACTCTGCATGAAAAAACATATGACATGATTCCACTATGCTTCGTGAACCCTAATAAAGATAAATAAAAAAGTCTCCCCCACAAATTTGAAGGGGATGAGAAGCAGGATTGTCATCAGAAACCTCAAAAGAAACCCAACAACACAACCGTTTCATCAACTACTGTCTTGTAGTTAAGGGGACTTAAGAGGACGGTGGAGCTGGGTACTTCCCGTTCTTTAGGAGCACTCTATCCATTCCACCTGGGATTACGGCAAGCTTGGGCAGCCCGTCTCGTGCCGCTGTGGGGAGGGGGTGCCGGGATGCCGGACCGTGGGCCCCGCTGAGCGGCGCTCTCCCGCGCTCCGGAGCGGCCGCGGGCAGAGCCCACGCACGCCGGGGCACGATGCTCTTCCACCAGAGCAGGACCAAGCCCCGGCTCCTGAGCGCACGTCACCGCGTGGGGCCTGACCACATCAAAGCGCTCTCTAGACCCGGCCATCCGCGCCCACACTGAAGGACTGAAATCTCTACCAGACACAGCCCCAGGGTGTTTGACAGCCAACTGCTTTCACAAGGCGAAACTACCACGTAGCTTCCAAATACGTGTATCAGAATTTGCTGTTAACTACAGGTCTGTTCAATTTTTTGATAGGCTTGTGGACCGAGTAAACAAGAACCCTACTACTACATTTTAAAATATTACCAGCTCTACCTTACTTGCCTCGGAGGCTCCAATAAACCCTCCAGTGGCTTACACAGGAAGGACAGGCTCTAAAAGATCTGCAAAATGTCGTAGTATTTTATAAAAATAAAAGCTCGGTGTTTGCAGGGAAGAGAAGGATCTTCATTTTCTGCAGGATTCCACAGTTGCCAAGATGTCTTGCAAAATGTTGTTTCTATTTTCCTTATTAACCTAGAGATAGAAGAACAAAAACTGATGTGAACTGATGTAAACAACCCCCGCAACATAGCTTACTTGAGAAACAAACAAAGCAGAGATTAAAATGCATTTCCTTCTCAGTGGAGACCCCTTGAGTGTCAAGCACCTGCCTTCTTCTGTTACTGCAGACACAATGAGCTAACCCCAGAAACCTGCACATGCAAGCAAATACTCGGTGAGCTTCCTGATGTAATCACCCATGGTATTTTGTAGTATTATTCAATGCTGGAATAACTAACAAGAATCACTGAAAGAACCATCTTGTACTTTGATCATTACTAAAATCCTTTTCAATTACCAAATATCATTTTCTGTTAAAGAAGAGTTCCTATTACCTTCAGTACCTGAAAGGATTATATTTATTAAGATGCCATATTCAGTCAAACACACTTGCAATGAAAAATTCAGTGCTTGACAATGCAACTCTGTGCTCCGAGAAACCTTATCATCACAGGAGAAAAACAGTTTCAAAGGAAATAAGACTCCATGCAAAAGCTGGGGGGCTGCTGCAGTGCAGTGTGGAGTTCACCACTTGAGCAGTGTATGGAAATGATGGGCTTCGAGCCCAGCACATGTACAAACCCACAGGACGAGTCACACGCCCGGCCCAGCCCGAGCCCAGGCACGGGTTGAACAGCAGCCGGGAAGCGCCAGCAAAGGCTCCGGTCAGCCAAAGCTGCCGAGACTCTCCCCACTGCAGGATTCGGATCCCTGCAGGGAAGGCAGGAAGGAGCCACACAGACAGACGAGCCCAAAAAAAGAAACAAAAAGTAAGGGGGTTCGTATTTTTAGAAAAGTTTGAAAAAAGCTGCTTTTGAAGAGGAAGGGGATGACACAATGCAGCATGCAGGAAATAAAACTTTCCACTGCCAGGAAGGTTTCACTGGGTCCCTGCAGCTGCAATTAAAATCTCAGCACACGGATTTGCATCCCCTGATGTACTACAGTAAATACTCAACCAGAGCAAGTCCTCAGTTTAGTTAGTCATACCGCAGAGAGCACAACGACCCAGGGCTGCGAAAAAGCAACATGAACATCAAAAAGCAGGGCGGGAAGAAAGAATTTCTCCCTGAAAGTGTTACTGTTTTAACTAGGTATCCCTGTAAGCCCATCATAAGACAAACAGAAAAACCTGCAGTAACAAGGACAACGAAAGATGGAGTTGCTCATTAGGAAAGCTCTTGCGGGCTGCCAAGGTGCACAAGGCACAGAGGCACCAAACACTGAATCTCACAGCAAGTGTCCTGATTCCCTGACTTTCAAAGGACCTTCTGAACGTTTAATAGCTCTTCCCGCTGCCTTACAGCCAACACCACCATCACTGCGCTTCACCCGTTCCTTTTCCAAGCCCACGCGCCAGAAGTCCAGGGACAGCATCAGAGGGCAAGTGCCGGGCGCTGGGAAGTTGTGCCAAGCCCTTTGCGAAGGCTGCGGGGCAGGGAGCAGCCTCCTCGTGGCTGCAGAGCCTCTGGAGCCTCCACCTCGCGGACAGCCTCTGCCGGCAGCGCGGCGCGGGCAAGCGCGCGGGCGCATCTGCAGCTGGAAGCATCTGCACAGGCTGCTTTTCCTAAGAGTTTAGGTAGTCTGCAGGAAAGCCCCTGCACGAACCCAAGCAGACAAGAGCAGAGAAAAAACGTTCTTCCCCTCCCCAAAGCCTCAAGCACTTTCAAATAAAAAATACTTGCAGAGTCGGTTCAACTAGAACCGTTTGGAGGAAGAAAGAGATGAAAGCGTTGAAAGAATAAATCCATATTTCCCAACATGTATCAGAATAAGCTGACGCAGATGGATCAACAATATCTCAAGCATCTGACTAATGATTTTGTGTCTAGACCTCCCATTTTACCAGATTCAATACCGAAAGGACTTGACACATAACTACCAGATGCAAGGTAAACCAAATACTAGGTATTCACAAGTGCAGGTCTGCGAGACCATCACAGCAAGAAAGCGAACCGCTTGTGGCAGAAGAGGCACCATTTTGCATCCAGCAGTAGATTCTGGCTCCTGCTCAACAGGAGACCAGCTGCTGGGCTTTTCTACTGCCCTGTAATGGAGGCCTTCTACCCCACAGTAGGATCTGCCACGATTTAGATCCATATAGCTACTTATTTTCCTTCTTGAAAGGCACATAGAACCAAACTTCACCAGCAGGTTTTGTGGAAGCAAAATAGATGGAAACATGAGGAAAAAAAAATGAGTATGTGCCAGCTGCTAAAGGATAATCTGAGCCTATTTAAGGCACCACATCTGCAAAACTACACAGAGCCAGACAATGTAAAAAGAGCCCTCACACTCCTACTGAAAAGCCTCATTCTCAGCAAAATGAAATTGGGCAATGATGGAAAAAAGTGTGTTAAATATCAGAACTCCCATCATTAAGAGCTCTAAAGGTAATAAACTAAACATTTGAGACCAAATCCTCAACTGCTTTAAGGGCATCTGAGCCCATTTACACCAACTGAGAAAACTTTCAAGACAGAAGAGCCTGCAAAACCCAGAACAGCTGTTTTTGTGCACTTACAACCAACCACCAGAACTGCTCCTGTGACACCAAGGGAAGCATCAGAGGACTCTGCTAAGTTCACTGAATGCAGCTTCATTACAAAGCAAGTGACAGAGCACACAGAACACTTTGGAAGGTGCCTGCTCACTCCTGCATGCGTCCAGGCATCACAGAATCAGTAAGATTGACTAACCATGCACTACTTAGGCATTCCACATCCTCCCCGTGCCGCGACCCTGCGAGAACGTCGCTGGTGATGCAGTATTTACTTGAGCCAAGGGCACATCTGACTCCTCCAAGGCCCCTTTCTCTCCTGCTCGTGCACACATTTTAACCAGCTTGGAAAGAGCAGAGAGAGCGTCACAGGAGCAGTCGAGACAGAAGCTCTCCTATACAGCACTTCAACATACCAGCTCTCTGTTGCTTGGGAATTACTGCAATCTGTCACAAATTTAACAACCGCGTTCTTGGCTATGGGATTCACCAGGGAACTCTCTCTGTTTAAACCAGAGCTCACTCTTCAGCAAAGTTAGAGCAGGCTGCAACCACCTCTGCAGAGGAATCAACACAGGGCTTCAGCTGGCTCTTGTCTGCCTCTCGGCCACGCAGGTCTTGGCACCTCGACCTCCTGTCTCGGGCCGTGGGTGATCCCAGAACACGGGAACGGAGTCTTCTCGCGTCTCTGCTCTTGGGATTGCTTCAGCACTTGGTTGAAAAGGCAGCGAACTTCAGAAACAGTAATTTAAGACAAAGATGGGGCCACCAACTAAAAGGAAGCTGAATGGATTTTTCTGAGAACTGCAGTTTTGTGAATCTCATTTTGAAAAGGAAATTAAAAAAGCAGGAGACTTTTGCTTTGTCTGCTTTAAATAAGATATTTCACTATAAAAGTGTTGAAACACTGCCTTTTCCTTCCTCATTCACTGGGACCACAACAAAACAGTCACTTTCACTGTGATCTGCTTCTGCGAAGGAGAGGCTGCAATACTGCTTTAAAGCATATTACCTCTACTAAGAAACCTGGAGGTGCAACTTTCCACTTACTCAATTCATAGCTCTTTCATATGAAAATTCCATTTGGGATATTTAGTTTTTCTTCTACTAGAAACTGTTGGGACATTAGCGCTTTTGCAAGAATATGAGGAGCTGAAGTGATGAGAACCGAGGAGCTGAAGCAATGGGAACCAAGGCCCCCCGGAGAAGATAACGCCTGTTAGCAACTTTTTAATGAATTAGGCCAGCCATAACCAGATAAGCATCCAGGAGGCCCAGCAACAGAGCATCAGGAAAGAATGCCAGTCAGCTGCAAGCTAGCTATGCATGGACACTATAGCCTAGCCAATGGGAATGCTGTTGCTTAGCGCGTGTCTGCGTTTACGGGTGTTGGGATTGTATAAAGCTACATAGTAGACAATAGTAAAGCGAATTGAACCTGCTTCACATTGAAGTGTTGTTCATTCCGTCTCGCGGCGTGGGCCTCGGCAAGAAACAATAGACATCAAGCAGAAAAATAAACTGAAGGGATGCGAGCAATATTTAGCCTGTTTTTTGTAAAGCATCCAGGACACCAACAGATACTTAGCAAATGTCGCGCCTGAAGTGCTGTGAACAAGCTGTGTTCTGTTGGGGTGAGGTTCTGAGAACTTCTCCCTAGACGATCAGAAATGCACTTTGAGGCTCTAATATTCTGAAAACTGTGTCTGTAAAAATAACATAATAAATTCCAAAAATGGTTCACTGACTCCAGAGAAAGCACACCCCATTTATGAAGTGTCTTTCTTCTAGCAATCATTCCTGCAAATCAAAATGCTGTCTTTTTTTTTTTTTTCTTCCTCGCATATGATTACTGGTAGTATTTCTGCAAGACAACCTGCACAAAAATCTGACTATGCTTAAGAACATTGAATACTTACGTGGCAATAATATTACTACAAGAAAACCTTTAAAAACAACCATTTCATTACTTGTACAGCCCACACAAGCTAAGACAGCTCTGTAAAACTGCTACAGTAAGTGCCAATGGTGATTTTTTTTTTTAGTAAGGTAAACATCTGTCCATTAAGAACAGAATGGAAACTACAAAATCAACTTCACATGAGCTAACCACAACTACCTAGTGGTGGCAACAATTAGATTTTAAAGAGAGCCAAATACAAACCTGCACCCTAGAACAAAAGGCTCTTTAAGAATATTTAATACTACTCACATTGAAAACTTTAACATCTTTTCTACTTCTTATTTCTTCAACAAGATCCAGTGGTTTTCCCTTAGGTACTGGAATAGTCCCAAGTATCACAGTCCCCGAACCGCTCAGCATTTGACGAACGGCTTGAATGAAGGGCTGGCTGAAGAGTTCCATTTTACCAATCTCATCTATGACACAGATTTTTCTCTCTGCATCACTGCCAGGACTCACCTGTGAAAAAGTTCAGCAAAAGACTGTAAGCCACACTGAACTTAAAACAAATAAATGCAGTAACTTCTCATCAAAAAGACACCCTCCCAAAAGAAACCAATTCAACGTAAACACTGCAGGGACTCGCACAGTCAAAACTGCTGCTGGTGACTCATAAACCTGCCACTTCTATTTCAGCAAAGATTTTTTGCAAGATTAGGATTAGGAATTTTACTTTATGTTGATATATGTGAAGATACTCCCCATATATAAAGTTTATGCCTGAATTCAGCCCAGTCATCTTTTCAGTATGAAATGGAAGCAGCTCTGACTCTGCCGGCTGAGCCCCTTCGGGCACGCGCCAAGCCCTGCAAAAGGGAACAAACCCAGGCTGGGCTGTTTGGAGACTTTCCCTCTGTCTCCAGTACTTGCAGCACCACGATATAGTTTCAAGACGTCAAAACAGTTTGTCCAAGTGAAACAGCAAGTCAGGAGCCAAAAGTGTAAACAGAGGGATGGTGACATCTCCATAAACAAGTGAGTCCTTCACATTGCACCTTCCTTTCCTGGCTGATCTACAGCTTCGGCTCTTGCCACAAAACTGACATGAACATCAGATTTGAGAAGAGAACTTTACAGCAAAGCGAGCAAGGCAGCAGCTTGCAACACTGCAATAGGGAGTCTCCAGATCTGGCCAAAACCAGAAAACGTACAAGAAAAAACCCACATGAAGCCCCACAAAGGCAGCTTTTTTTGGGGGGGGGGAGGGGAGGGTGGGGAACAGGAGGGGGAAAGAAGGAAAAAGAAAAATAAAATAAAACAAAGGGTGAAAAGGTCAAATACAGCAATCCTCTTGGTATGGCTAGTTATTCCACTTATTCTCCTCCATCATGTCAGAATAATCATCTTTCTTCCATTTTATGCTCATTATATTACTTATTGCACGAGGATGGAGACAACTTGGGAAGTGAATGAACTATTCAACGGAAGAGAAGTGCACTACCCACCCTGGTTGGAGGAAAGTAACTGAGAATTGCACCCCGTTATTTAAGATACAGGAAACAAATCAACTCAGGTCAGAAAGCAACTGTAAATCCATGAATAACTACCGATACCAACCATATCATACAGATCCTAAGAAAAAAAAAACTAAACGTTTTCCCTTGAAGACAAGTATTTGTTTGTGGGAAAACTTTGTAGCACGCACGCTAAAATCTTTTCAACCCACCCTGCTCACAGAGCAGTGAAATAAAAAGCCAATACGAATCACTAGGTCTCACATGGAGAAACAGACCTTTCTGTTTTGAAAGAATCCCCAGTCCTGCATGGCAAAGGGTCTAGAGAGCTTCTCTAGGACCCGTTCCTGTTCTCACTGCAGTCCAAGCCTTGAGAGCTGCAGCTGCCCCAAGACTACATGGCACACACCTGCTCCTGGCTTCCCTGAGCCACCCAGCCCATACCCCTGGTCCTCCTGCCTTAATTCTTCATTTGTTTCATCTTACTGCAAGTCTGCCCTCCTCCTCTCACTCTCCTCCCTCCCATTTCTTACCACCTGCATGATCACATACCCCTCAAATCCACCAGAAGTGCTTTCAGTAAGAACGGTCAAGCACAACTGACCCTCACCAGCACTCTCTACTACTAAGGTTTGTGCTCGGTTTCACACAATTTAATGCAGCAATACAAGGACTCAGAGGACAGCCCATGCTTAATGAAGACTTGTTTATTTAAATTATCTACTCTTCCACTTTTACATTCCTTGGTAAAAAAACAAGGAACAGATCCTCAATTTCCTTCTTGCTCCCTGCACCTCTTTATTTTCTTGCTCTTTCAAAGCTCCTTACTCCCTGGCCCGTTGGGCTTCAACAGTGTAGAAACTCACTACAGGATTTTTCTAGTAGCACAACTCAGCAGCTGCTGCACACGGTTTGTAAGATGCTTCTGCCAACATCAGATCTATTCTTGTTTAATTTTGGAGGGGGAAATGTTAGGGTGGGCAAGAGGGGGAAAAAGGGAGGAAAAAAAAAATCTTAATAGCTCTACTATAATAACATGTTAGGGGAAGGACGGCAAAAAAGATTGCGTGGAAAGGAAGGAATCACATCGAATACATCAAACTAATTCACTCTACAACAGCCAGCTGCTGTCTCTAATAAAAGTTTTAAATGAGGAAATACTGTCTGTGTTAGTGTGTAGTGTATACGTTAAACCAGACCCCCAATTTATACTATGTTGGGTTAAAGAATCTCACAACCACATGTTGTTGGCAAATTTTAACTTAGAGAATGTGCCTTGAGCACACAGTATTCAGAAAGAAAAAAAACAATAATTTAAAATAAAAAATAGGTCCCTTTTCTGTCACAGCCAAAGAACTCCTTGTAGTGCAGGCTAAGTTTCAAGTTACTGGACTGCTGTTAGCTATTAAAACGCTAACGATCTGCAGGTACTCATACAGTAGCAATTAAAAATAATTCCTAGATTGAAGAAACAAATGTTGCTACTGGAAGAAAACAGGTATCAGTATGATAGAGGAAAAGGATTTTAAGAGGAAAAATAGCAGCAAAATCCTTTTTCTTGAACCTCTGATGCCTCCTGGTTCTGTGTGAGCAAAGCCAGCTGTACGTTTCACATTTGTCTTTCCTATGCAAAATGGTGGCTTCCTATCACCTGTCTTTCACTTCACGAGGACCTGCTCACAGAAGGATGTCAGATCAAGAATGAGGAGGGAAAGCAGGCTCTCAAACACCACTATAAGTAAAGAAAAACAGGTAAGTTTTGCCCATCCAGCTCCCTAAAGTCAATCAGAATCAGTCAAACCCCAGAAAGGTCATTTATTACCACCCAAAACTAGGGCCTATGAGGGCTCTTTAAGAACACTGCTCATCATAAAGCCTTCATCTTTCAGCAGCTTTAATGTAATACTCACATTACTCAGTAAAGGAAGAACCAACTGCTCAAAGGAAGCAACGTCTACAACATATTGTCCAACTCGACAATCAGGTCTTGAAGCAGAGGAATCAGAACTGAATTTTAAAAAGAAACAAACAATTCCTCCTAAGCAACATGAATTTAGTGAGAATTTACTGCAGTCAATTAGAGTGGATTTTCGAAAGCCATTATCCTAATAAGTCGAATTCCCTTAATTCTTCTAAGAAAAGAAAATCTGCAAACCACACCCTAAGTCATACTGCAGATAGCACAGTCTACTTTCTAATGATAAATATACCTTAAGCTACTTTTGTACTATGCAAGCGTAAATTTGAACGACGTACCAAAGGGCAAGGGGATCTAAAAGTCAGAAGGTACCATACTGAAATCAAAATATGCGCCTGCAGTTCACACAGATATAAGAGCAAGCTTTAAATTAAGTAACAGACACTGAAAACAGCGTCATTGCAATAGCCTCAGCTCTCTGTAAGATGCAAAACCTTAAAACAATCTTGGGAAATTTCTTCAACAGTTTGCCCAGGCTGCATCACACTGTCCTGACAAACTCCCTCCATTGGCAGTATTTAAACTAGTTAGTCTGGCCAGCTCTGTCTGAATGAGGTGTCAATGTTACACCTGGCATGGAACAGGAGGCATGGAACGCTAAGTCGACAGAATGAGGTGTGACTGTGCGCCCCCCTGGCCTCTTGGTAGGGCTCTAAAGCCCTCATTTGCTTAAAACTCACTTGTGGGATTTGTAGGCCAGACAGGGGCTCATTAAAATAATGTTATATGATGTTTTCCTTGATTTTCAGTTTCTGTCCCCTTATATTAAGCCAATGGAAACAAAGTTTTCCTCCTAGCATTTTTTTTGAAGAAACAATCCTGCCTACTACAAGCTACTACTCACTATGTCCTAAAGAGACTTGATTCTTTATTAGAGCCAAGAGACTTTAGAAGAGAAAGGGCTCTGCAGCAAATCCCACATCTTGGGTATGAAACGCAGAGCAAGGGAGAACACCCTCTAGCACATTTCCAGCGTTTCCCTGTGCAAGAGTCCACACATAGAGCACAGATATCAACCAGAGCAGGAGAACTGAACAAGGAACCTGACCATGAAACCTTCAAGCATGCTAAATACAACCTTATGGGGGAACAACAAACCCCTTACAGCAATTAAAACATGCGTACCTAACTCTAGATAAAGGACCTCGTTTTCCAGACAGAGTAACAACATCAAATCCTCTTCTTCTGCCATGTTCTCGGACTTCCTCTGTGTAAAATCCATCAAGGGGAACCCCTGTAGATTTTAGGGCTTGAGTAGCTTTCTGGATCAAAGTAGTCTTTCCAACTCCTAAAAAAAAGGGGAAGCAAAAAGCACACAATATTAAGCCTCTTTTACATTAAGAGTTCACTTTTAAACACCACAGCAATGATTTAACAGAAACATGGATTACTTTCTAAGCCTGGAAATTCTTTAAATGGTAAGAGAGGAGACAAAAGCATTTTTAAAATGCATTTTCTACTAACACTGTAACAGTTTATTAATCTTTAAGAAGTATGTCTGTAGCAAAGTCACAAGAGAGTGGTACAAACATCCCAGGCCAGCAGTGAACTTGCTTACTTAGATAGTGCTGAGCCCTGGGCAGGCTATAAAGCTCGACCCACCTCAGGCGAGAACAAGAATTATCCCCTCTTAAGAGTCAATCTGTTATACAGCTGATATCCAAGCTAGCTGCAAGTTACTCCCTCTCCCTTTCTATCACTGCTCTTGATTACTGTTAAAAAAACACAGCAGAATTCATTCCTTTTTAGATCATTAGGTCAAAATAGATTGAAAGTACAAGGAGCCTACCTTCCAAGGGCATTACGTACATTTAACTGCTACGGCTGTCCTAAAAACAAAAGGACTCAATACCCTCAAAATATTAGGACCTACATGGCTAAAAATAATAATTTTTAAAAAATCCAAAAACAGGAGCAGGTTTCTAACACATGATAACTGAAACAAGAAAGGTTTTGACAGACGGGGCTGGAACAAGTGGCCTAGAGAGGTGGTGCAGGCTCCATGCCTGGAGGTTTCCAAGACCAGACTAGATGAAATCCTGAGCAACCTGGCCTGACCTCACAGCAGGCCCTGCTTTAGACCTCCTGGTGTCCCATCACGTCTGAATTGCCCCATGATCCTGCAATCCACTCTCCTACCCCAAGACTTAAAGCCCTTCCTATCTGATGCCCCTTCGGCATTTTTTGGTACACCTCCTACTATGTGAATACTGGCCATCTTCCAAACATATTCCCTGTTCCCTTTTCTTTGACATTTTACAAGTATATCCCTTAACAATCTCCTTTTAAGCCCAACTTTATCTCCCCTCGCAAAATCCAAAGTTATCAATTCATCAATTGCAGTCCTGTCAAAAAAAAAAAAATCAGCTTTAGAAGGTAGAAAATATCCCACAGAATACAGCAGTAAATACCTGGAGACAAGGAGCACAAGGAGCAAGGCCAAATGCAAGGTGCCTGAAGAGGCTGACAAATCCTTTTCAAGAACACATACATACCTCATTCCTCGCTCAGTTTTAAGCTGATTTACAAACTATTTCCTCAAAAGTCAGTATCAACGATAACATCTTCTGCAGCTTCAAGGGCATCTAGTCAAACTCCTAAACAAACTTTTCATAATCGAGGGAAAAGGGATTCTGGGTGTTTGAGCAACAAGAAATGACACACGTGGCACCCTGGCTACCTACCGTCTTTCCCTGACCTGGCCTCTGCAATGGAACCAATTTAGATACAGGGATTTTTCCCATTCGGCCACCTTTATTTAGCACATTGCCAAAATAAGTGATTCAAGTGAAGCTTAAGCAGATTCCATGTTGAACACATATCCAGTTAAAACACTGCATTCAATTTCAGTTAAATGGACATAGATTAAGGCCTAGCTTCTGATTATTCAGGTGTATGCTGCAAAACCAAATCCAACAAAAAAGCTACAGGTACACTGCGTGAATTTTAAGTGTGTTGCATTTTAAGTGGATTGCAGACCAGAGAGGTCTGTTCTGCAAAAGAGTCCCCAAATGGCGGAGCAGGCCCACGGCTCTACTCCCAGAGCTCCACAGCGAGCTTGGCCATCGCAACAGCTGGGGCATTTATTAACCTCTCAGCTCAGCGCCACCCGCTCTGCGACCTCCCCGGCCACCAGGACCTGCTCGGGGCTCCCCAAAACGCGGCCGGGCCCCCGGGGACGCCAATTACCACGCAGGCTGGAAGTGCCGAATCACTGCAGTTAGGGCACACAGCCAACAACCCCCAAAAAACTAACAGCGACTGCTGCTTAACGGAGGGGTTCGTCCTCCGGGAACCTCTCCCGCCCCAAGCCCGCGGGCAGCGCCCCTCGCCCCGCGG